ATAGCATCAACCAGGTGACCAAAAGTACACCCAGTACTACAAAAAATTATTCCGCACCCCGCCGCCATTACCACTAACCACGTGATCAAAAGTACACCCAGTACTCCAAATTTATTCAGCAGCCCGCCGCCATTACCACCAACCACGTGATCAAAAGTACACCCAGTACTCCAAATTTATTCAGCAGCCCGCCGCCATTACCACCAACCAGGGGATCAAAAGTACGCCCAGTACTCCAAATTTATTCAACAGTCTGATGCTATTACCACCAACCAGGTGATCAAAAGTACGCCCAGTACTTCAAAATTATTCATAAGCACTACTCGTGTCAATCATACATAAACATTCATGAGCATCACTCATATCAGTCATACATAAACATTCATGAGCATCACTCATGTCAACATTCATGAGCATCACTCATGACAACATCCATGAGCATCACTCATATCAATCAGCTTCAAAAGCTTCATTTACAAAGCTCTAACTTCAAAAGCTTCATCTACAGAGCTCTAGCTTCAAAAAGCTTCAATTACAGAGCTCTAGCTTCAAAAGCTTCATTTACAGAGCTCTAGCTTCAAAAAGTTTCAATTACAGAGCTCTAGCTTCAAAACTTCACTTGCAAAGCTTCACCTACAAAGCTTCAGTGCAGGGTATACAAATACCGCCTCCGAACAACCGCTATTTCGGCCCATACATGGATTCAATTTGAAGTCTCTGGCAAACAGACTTTATTGACCGAAGACTTAGAGGACTACATTATGTACCATATATTGGGCATCAATTGGGCCTCATGAAAAATACTTAGAGGACTTAGCCCATTATTTATGTATTGAGGAGCAAGCCCTTATTCTATAAAAGGGACTCCCTCACTTTCATTAGAGAGCACCCATTATTCATGTACTGAGCAGTGAGCCCTTATTTTATAAAAGGGACTCCCTCACCACCATTAGAGAGCATCGCCGCCTACTAAGCAACCGTCTCGCTGCGAGCATCAACTCTAGCCCATCATTCATGTATTGAGGAGCGAGCCCTTATTCTATAAAATGGACTCCCTCACCTTCAACGCCACAAGCTGAGCCAACCAAGGCAACATAAGCCACGAACCGAGCAGCCTCGCAGCATGTGCTACTTCTGTTTGAGCATCATTTCAGATTGAGCACCGCCTCATATTGAGCATCAGTTCAAGACAGCATCTAGTTACTTCGGCCCACACATAGACTGAATTTCAAGTCTCCAGCCAAAAGACTCTCTTGACTGAAGACTTGGGGGACTACTGTTTATACCATACTTAAGGGCCTCCGTATTTAGATCTCGTATAAATACTCGAATGACTCAAATGTAATTATGTAATAAAGGAAGGGGCAAATATGTAATAAGTGAGGAGCCCTTATTCTATAAAAGGACTCCTCACCCTCACAATTAGAAGAGGCCAATTCCTAGGCCATCAGAGACCTCACTCTCTCCCTCAAAGGCTCTGAATCTCTCTCCCTCATAAACAGAGAAATACATAATCAGTGTGGACGTAGCCCAAACCTTGGGGTGAACCACGATACATCTTGTGTTATTTACTTTCTTGCATATTCACGGTCGGATTTACGTTGTTCCAAGACCTCCGGTTTTGTGCATCAACAGTGTGAAATTACATTTCTACCCCATATTTCTTATTCATATTATGTTTTAATTAGAGAGTTAAACTTGTAATTTCATAGAATTTTGGTTAACAATGAGTGTTTTATTAATTAGTAGAGATATGAATTTGGTCAGTTGAGTCGGTTACTAATTTTAATTACAAATAGGAATTGAACTTTTTGCCCAAGTACCCTTTTTTCTAGGGTTTTAACGCGTTTCTTAAGTTGCAAGCAACGTTTGCATCATATATATCCAACCTGCAAGAATTCTATCTTTGTTTCTACTTCCGTCACTACTCTCACTCTCTCTCTCTCGATATATCTACACCATGGCTTCTATCTCAAAGTTGAAGAGCAGTAAGACGGCCATCGGCTGTAGCAGAATCCCCAGCAACTCCATCCCTCGAGCCTTGTGTCCTGATCACATCATCAACCTCGTGCATATGGCTGCAGCAAAGGCCCGACAGGCTGCAGAAGCATATTTCATGCTCGGTAACTTCGAACATGCAATCATGCCAGCCAAGGCAGCAAAAGAGTTCGATCCAGATTTGTCTGGTATGGACAACTACATGACTGCATACCAAATGCATTCCGCCGTGTCACACAAGTAAAACTGGTACATTGTTCGTGGCATCGAAAACCCTATAGTTGCCGACTCCGAAACCATCAAGAAACAATACAAGAGATTGGCACTTGCCTTGCACCCCGACAAGAATGTGACGCAGCACGAAGCAATGAAAGGGTTACCAGCGTAATCCCTTGTAGAACAAAGTTACTGGAGTCCACCAGTTGATAGAAATCCAAAGGATAATTTGATTAATTGATTGAAATATGTCTAAATGATTACAAATCCATGGCTTAAATAAGCCTTTTACAACCTCTTGGAAAACTCAAAAGACTTAGGAAATTAAAATGAAAATAACTGACATATAATAAAGCCCTTGAAACCCCAAAAGACTCCATTTATTAGTAGGCTGCTGTCTTGATGACTTTCTGCAAAAGATGGCTCAAGCCACTTTTGTGGGAGAATTAAACACCTCTTCTATGACCGCACCAGAAATGAAAGTAGCGTTCATTCAACAAGAAAGGTTCAAAACATCAACTTTTGAGATATGACCGTAGCAAATAATCTATTAACACGTGAATTACCAATTCTCCAATCACTTTTCTTTATTGCTCGCCGCTTCCTTCTTTTAGTTTTGTTGCACGTGAAATAATCGGATTTCTGTCCTACATCAGACTCATCCACTTGAAGGGAACTCGACCTCGAGTTCGTCTTGAAACGGTCTTGATAGCTAGTAGATAACTCCCTTGTTAAGAAAATAAGTTCTTCAACTTGAGAAGCCCAACTTTCCGTATACTTGGGTGGAATAATCATGAAATTAATTCCATAAATAAGATCGAAATATGGCAATTGGGAATCAAAATATTCTTCCTTACCCAATTCTCTTGTTTGGTCAACAATAGAATTTAGATCCAATTTACTAGACTCATGATTCTCCAAAGTCATGACAGATTTTGATTCACTCATACCTTGAATTTCTTGAGCCTCCACTTCTGAGTTGTCATGTTTTCGGAGATCTTCATCAACAAGATTTTCATCAAGGAAAATTACTTGTTCTTTTGCTTCCACCTTGGCCTCCACCGTTTCTTGGCATAATGATATATCATTCTCCATCACTTTAGCTTCTTTTCTGATGATTGGTTGACCAGTCTTTTCCAAATACAATTCGTATAAATCGGAAAAGAATTGCTTAACAATGAGTTGCTTCAACCAACGCCAAGTTTGGATAGGACACTTACCTTGTTGTCGCCTAGATTCTTGCATATGATCACACCATAAACCCACATCACCATCTAAACAAGAAGCAACCATCTTCACCATCTCTCTTTCCGGAATTGGTTGTGTCTTGAAAAGTTTTTCTACATCATCAACCCACAAGAGAAAACCTTCAATGCAATCACTTCCGAAGAAAATAGGAATATCTTCAACATCAACTATATGAGATTGGCTCGAGGCAATTCCCTTTGTGCACACCACATCTATTGTAACAACCTCGCGATCAACGTCACTTAAGGTATATCTTTTCCCATGATCGATTGCCATTAGAACATAGCAAATAGGATAATCAACAATGCCAAGATGGGAGAAACCCGCTCTGGTACCAATTGACGCAGCACGAAGCAATGAAAGGGTTACCAGCGTAATCCCTTGTAGAACAAAGTTACTGGAGTCCACCAGTTGATAGAAATCCAAAGGATAATTTGATTAATTGATTGAAAGATGTCTAAATGATTACAAAGCCATGGCTTAAATAAGCCTTTTACAACCTCTTGGAAAACTCAAAAGACTTAGGAAATTAAAATGAAAATAATTGACATATAATAAAGCCCTTGAAACCCCAAAAGACTCCATTTATTAGTAGGCTGCTGTCTTGATGACTTTCTGCAAAAGATGGCTCAAGCCACCTTTGTGGGAGAATTAAACACCTCTTCTACGACCGCACCAGAAATGAAAGTAGCGTTCATTCAACAAGAAAGGTTCAAAACATCAACTTTTGAGATATGACCGTAGCAAATAATCTATTAACACGTGAATTACCAATTCTCCAATCACTTTTCTTTATTGCTCGCCGCTTCCTTCTTTTAGTTTTGTTGCACGTGAAATAATCGGATTTCTGTCCTACATCAGAATGTATTAATAGCAGCCGAGGGTGCTTTCAAGCATGTTAAGGCAGCGTTGGACGTTCTCTCTAACCCTGCTAAAAGAGAGGCTTACGACAAGTCTTTGAAGCGACAGCTTCAAGCGGCTCATGTTTCCAATAAGCGTAGAGCTAGTGAGTGCAAACCACTGCACTCTGAGAGGTCTAATACCTTCCCTCGCAAAAGGTCTAGCCCTAGCGGTGATGGGAGCTGCTACAAGAAAACCATTAAGATTATTAGAAAATCAAATCCAGGCCAAAAGGCAACTGTGATGATGGTATTCGTATGCCAAGTGGCTTAATGTGTTCCTCGCCTTGTAATTACTTTACCTCCTTGAAATTTTGGAGTGCTTACTTTTTAATACAATTTTGTTGAATTAATCATTTTGGATCTCTTACATTGTTCCCTTATCCCACTTTTATATTTTCTGATTCTGAAAGTAGTTTCTGCAGCAATCTGTGACTGCCGATGTTGGATAATCTTCTTAATGTACGGGGCAACACATAGGAAGGAAAGAGATCAAATAGGGTTAATATATTAAGAATGATAACCTTTCTTTTATTAGCAAAATACATACAAAATTAATGCAAAAAAAAAAAACCAACTAACATACATAACTCGCAAAACAAGTCACGATGAACAAATAATCTATACTATATATGGCTCTTGCACACGTGAGAGCGCATGTGAGAAGGCTAAGTATATTGTAACGCACTTAGACTAGTTAGTACTACTGGTAGAGTTGAGCAAGAAAGCTTGTGATTTTCTCTCATAGTGAAAGTTGTTTTTCAAAGAAGCATCAGCTGAGAAGATCATGACCCCATTAATTTCAAATCCATTTGTCTGCAACAGTGTCAAAGCATCAAAAAAGGCATCCCCTTGAATTCCTCTTCCATCTACTTCATAGGCAGGCAACAACTTTTCCTTGCCAAATTGCGCGGCTCGAATCTTAAAGGCTTGCAGATATCCCTTCGGGGTAGTAACTTTGTCGGTGTAGAACTGGTGGTTGACATAGTCTATAACATCTGCATAGTCATCAAAGAGCTGAACATACGGCGCAGCTGTACTATAAAACGGTGCAATACTAGCAACGGAAATGAGCCCTTTCTTTTTCAAGCCGGTGATGAGCTCGCCGATGCAAAAAGCAAAAGAACTTGAATTACCGCGCTTTGGGAAGTTTTCGTAGTCTATGTCAATGCCATCAAGATGGTAAGTGGTAATTATGGAACCGAGCGACGAGACAGCGTTAGATACCCATTTTTTGGGGTTTGTCGGATTGTACCAGTGAAGGACTTTATCACCTAAGCTCCAACCTGAGAGGCTTGCCATGACTTTCACATTAGGGTTTTTTTCCTTGATGGCTGCAACAGATTGTGGGGTTAATGTAGATTGCCAATATGGTGAGAATATCCCATTTTGTTGTTTGCCTGATGAGTCTGCATCAATCGCAAACCCGAGTATGAAATGGAAGTCGATCTCATTGTCAATCGGTACAGAGTCAAATGTTACGGGAACTCCGGTGGCTCCAATGTACTCCATCATCAACTTCCCGTCTGAATCATGCATAGATAACTAATTAATGGTTAGCTCAGAAAACAAAAGATTGGACATATGTTAATTAGCATCTACTTATAAACAGTGAAAGCAAATAATTTTGACACGGATTGATGATACTAATATCGTTAGCATATAATACAATTGTCCCATATCAGAAACACTAATGAGTGAGCTTCCCCTAAAGTTTGATTCTCCCTCCCCGTAATTTATATTGGTTTAGAGTATCGCTCAAATAAAAGGAACAATAAACGTTTTATGTGATAAAAATTGTGAAAATAGTATATATACCACAAAATTGCTGAAACATGAGGGCAACTGATGCCACATAAAGGAGAGAGAGTTGAAGTACTTGAGCCATCCTTCTTAGATTTTGGGATTGAATGAAGATATGAAGAAGTAAGGCTGTGGTTTTATAAGTCTACTGAAGTTCAGATTCAGCCGGCCGGCAGCCGAAACTAATGACAAAACCAGAGTTTTGAAGGTTACAAGAATTTCATCTATATTTGTTTATTAACTAAGGAACTAGTCATAGCATCTTTCTTGCCTCCCACGGTTGCTTCAGTACAAAGAACGGCTCCATCGCTGCCGAAAGGTGCTTTCAAGTTTTGGTGAACACAGCCTGGACGTTGTCTCTAAACCCTGGAAAATGCTTACGACAACTCGTTTAGGTTGACGGTTTCGATTTCATCAATAGAGTCGGATTTCTACATGCACTGGTTGTCCACTTTTATTCATCTTGTTTTATACAGAAGCCGCTTTAGGAGACCGAAAGGTGCAATCTCACAGGATCCTAAATTTTGACGGACACCAAAAAAATTTGTCATCTAATAACTATATGTAGTAATGCTATATATTACAAAATTTGTTTTTATTAGCACTTTAAAATTCTCATTGCCCACTTCTTATAAGTGTACATTATTCTTTCTAAATATAAAAATTTGGAGTGCACAATGAGATATTTAGAGTGCCAATAACAACAACCCTAAAATCAATTTTTTTCAATTTATTATATAATAATGCTATATATTCAAGTGAATCTTAAATTAGAGTTTTTGAAGTTTTTTTTTTTCTTGTTTGGTTGTCAAGATTGAACTGTTTTTATTATTTAGTGAAGGTTATATATGTTTATAGCTTTTTTTTATTGATTATTTGACGACATTTGTAAACTTACAATCAAGTTCTAAGGTTTTTTTTTTTGAAGTTATTGTTTTCTAGCATCAATACATTGTATTACTTTCTTTTAAAAAACTATCATAAAAAGATGCCCCCTTATGAATTTCGCCCTAAGCCCTCAAAGTCTTAGAGACAACCTTAGTTTTTACATATATACCGAAGAAATACAATTGTTGCTTATGTCTGTCGTTCTTAGGATGTTCATAAGCAAAAAAAGCAATTGTCTATACAACAACAACAACAACAAAATCTTTTCCCACTAAGCGGGGAAGCAATTGTCTATAACCATTTAATTTTTAGTTTTAGAATGAATCTCACTATCAATGTTCTGACTTTTTTTTATATATATAATGAATCTCACTATCAAAACATTAATTAGCCAAATTTTTAATTTTTATTAGACCTGATTCTCTTGTTAGAAAGCGAACGTCTCGTTTGGAATGAATATGTCACAATTTTTGTTTGGCCGGAATCCGAAAGGCAGAAAGAAACAGCACAGAGAAACCAGAGAGGCCTATATCTAGAGGCCACAAAGATACCAGCCGATTGTCCCATCCAAGCAATTCAAAATATATAGAGAAAGAACAGCCTAACAATATAGAAAACAAAACATTCATTTCTTTTTATATTTCATATTGGAACAACTGGAACGCGGATCTTTAAAAGAATACGGCAGCGTTTGTTGGATAGCGGTTTGGATAGGATAACTCACTGTATTGAAGGCATTTCGAAGGAAGACATAGATGATAACTTCCACAGTTCGTTCTAGTTGAAAGTTACTTGAGAAGAAAAGTTATCCTTGGCAATTCCCAAGTTAAAGGTTACTCCTTTCAATCCCATTTTGTGGGAATTTGTAAGGATAACTTTTCTTCACTAGTCCTTCAACTTGGACAAAATACAGAACTTGTCATCCATTTCTTCCGTCAAAACGTCTTCAATATAAAGAGTTATCCTATCCAAGCCAATCCTGTCTACCAAAAGCCACCTTAGTGAACAATAGAAAATGCAAACAACATAAAATTAACAAGTAATTGCCTATTTAAGAAGATGTTGGATCAAATTATCAAACATGGGGTAAGTAAAAGAATGCATAGTGGGTGGAAGGAAAACACAGAGAGGAGAGTGTGATGGTAATCCTGGGAAGTGAGGAGTGTTTACTCGAAAAGTGGCTATACCGAAACACCAAGGTTGAACGACATGACCGTTACGTTCAATAATGTAGAGAGGGTAGCAAACACAAGTTGTACGGGAAAATTTAGGAATGGGGATAACAACACATAATTATATGCAATGCAACTTAAAACAACTCGAGTAATTGAACGGAGAAAAGGGACCATGATGGCTCCTCCAAGTCAACAGGCAGATACATTAGATGAGCTATGCTTTGATGAAGTTTCTGCTTTCCAAAAACAAAATACGGTGCAACCCTAAGTTAAGATATGAACAAAAGGATCCTTCATCTTAAGTCAGAAGTCGGAACAATATACTGTATTAGAATTACACCCATAGAATGCTTTTATGGGAAAATTAAGATTCTATTGGTTACAAGAGTTTTTATAGTTAACCATCAATAAGGCTGCTTACAAACTCGGGTTTTACATCTCTCCGCATTCAGCAATAACACAGGCTAGTTTAGGGCGATTGTTGGGTCCCGTAGCCACATTCTCAATCTTCCTAACAACCAAGAGACCATCTCCAAGCACTCTCTACATAAAATTAAAAAAAATATAAAACAGTTTGTCAGTACAACCAAAAAATTGGAAGGTTAAACCTAAAACAGGTGATTTAGAGCTAAGTAATAAAAGGATAGAAGATCAGTGGAAATTCCTAGGACAACTTATGTTTGTTTGCATGCTCACAGGTGTGTGGAATTTTGGTTCCTAGAATCATTTTACGAAAAAAATTTCGTAGCACAAAATGACTTGTATCTGCTCAGGATAAGTATTATCAAATTTTCATTCTGGATGGATGCATGGTAATACTTATTATGTTTTTGGCAACTAAATAACGAATCTCTTTGATAAAAATCAGGTGACTCGTATGTTTGAGAAATATAATGCATTATTGACAGTAGAGAGAAGGATCATAGCGTACCCCGAACACAACATGTTTATTGTCAAGCCAGTCACATTTCGCGCACGTGATAAAGAACTGAAGTGCAAAAGCAAACAAACATTAGTCACATCTCTGTGTGTGTAATAAGAGAGAACAAAAGAGAGACAGTTTTGTTTTAACCTGGCTCCCATTTGTATTTGGTCCACTATTTGCCTGAAAAGGAGCAAAAGATTATATCAATTCAGTATCAAGAGTACAATCTTATGTTGGAACTGAAAAATAGATCTGTGTCTCTATTTGTATGTGCATGTGTAAAAGTTCCTGTTTCGGACAGGATCCTCGGCCATTTGTGCGGCCAATCAAAGCATAAAATCTTACAAGAAGTAACAAATAATACAGTGCTAATACAGCTTATTAATTTTGCGCGTAGACCTATAGGTTAATGGGCATTGGAAATCCCATCAATTCCCCTTCTTCTTTCCCTGTTCTAAATGAACATTGCAGCAACCTATAGAAAGGTTGAGGTTTACAACAAAAAAAAAAGGACTGAGAAATACTCCTGTGCACGTATCAACACATTATCTCTTTACCTCTTACACATCTTACAATGTGTTCAGAAGCAAGCAACTAGTTAATTAGTAATGGATACATATCCATGAAGAAGGATATGAAGGACTCTCAACATGTTAGTTACACTACAGAAACAATCGAAACTCATACCAGAAAACAAGGAATGCTGATGTGATATGCTAATATTGCTCTTCAAAAATTGGATCTTCAGTTTTGACAGACTCGCCCAAAATCAAAGGCTGGTGAGACTTTAAACTCCAAACTCACTCACATCAGTAAACCAATGCCGATGAGACCTTGACATAAAAGGACCAATCACTAGCACTATGAACTATACTGCCTAAGAAAAGATGAAAAGTATAAAAGCTCATCATTGTATAGAATTCTTCAGTGACCTATGCACATTTAGAAGCAATCAATTTCACATCTTAAACCACACATAAATTTAACTAGAAACTAATCTTTTGTATCTCCATGAACAAATTTGTTGCACTGAAGGACTAAATAAAAAGCTTTACCCATTTTCAATTCTCCACATAAAAGAGATTCAAGTGTACATGAAGGTAAGGTAAAGCAAACAAATGTTCACAGAAAATTATTGAATACTAAAAGCAAACATGAAAATGCATACCATTGACAATAGGCCGGGACCAGTGTGTTTGGCATCAAAAGTCTCATCATCAAACTTAAGTCCATAGATGGAAACACATCCACTACCATCACCCTGCAAAGAAAGATCTTCAATATAAGAATATTGCAACAACAAGAGGAAGAAAGTTTGAGCATTATGAAAATAGAGCAGTTTCCTTCTTTATCCGCAGATTCCTCACAATAATGTTTTTCATAAGAACGAAGAAGATTATTGTAAGCAGTGTTATGCATTGAATAGATATGATTGGGGCAGAAGTTGCACACTGAATATATTACACGAAGAACACAGTTAAAAACAATCTCCATTGAAAACGACTACCTAGCCGATATATAAGTATGATCATTCATATTCAGAAAATGGTAACAAACCCAAAATTCCATCAGCTTTCCCTCCTAAAGAATCCGAAACGGCATCCGTAACAAAAGTAGATACTTGTTGAAGAAAAAAGTAAAAACCTTGAGAAAATCACCAGCTTGAATCATGAAATCCTTAATCACCCTGTGGAACTGGCACCCCTTGTACCCAACTGGCAATCCAGCTTTTCTGCCAATTTACAATATCCAATTCAAATAATTTATTTACAAAATCCAAAAAATTAGTAAAAATCAAAATCCCCAAACTTGAAGAGAATGAAATAATGGGTTTGGCCTTTGGGGCTGGCTACCTGTACTCGCCGGTGCAGAATTGCCTGGAACAAGAAAAGAGAAGACAAGCAAGCTGAATCAGGAAGGAACGACGGCGTCTTAAACGATGAAGGGGATGACAAAAGAGGAATAGTAACAGAAAGGGAAAACGAGGGGAAAATGCCTGAAATTCTCGGCGGTTTTGGGGGCGATATCGGCGAAGAGCTCCATCTTGATGCGACCGGCGGGGATGGTACCGATGGTGATGTCGAAGAAGACGACTGGGTTTTTAGGGTTTGGAGGCCGTAGATGCCACTCCACTCCTCCGCCTGCGTTCCCTCCACCTGATGCCATTGAAATTGATCCAAAAAAAGCTGAGAGAAAGGAATCTCAGTGCTTTCTAGGGTTTAATCAAGGGTTTTAGGGAGGGATGATTCAAAATCCGATAGCGCCATTGTTATTTACACTTCTTTTTTTTTTTTACAAAAAGGCTAATTGCATGAAAATATTTTTGCTCACCACCTGAAGCTGAAGCTGATCACCTTATCTATAATCTTTTTTATTTTTTATTTTTTTTATCAAACCTTATCAATAAACTTTAGATGATTTTAAAGAGGCGAGATTTGTATATAATTAAAATACACTACAAAATCTCTTCAATTCTCCCTAATTTCTCAACTTTTTTAAATTCTTAAAAATCAATTTCTAATTAAATGCACATGTAATGTTATAAACTTCTTTAAAATCCTAATTGAATACACCCGGATTTCTAAAGATTTTAATAAACTATCTTAAAATTCTAATTGAATACACCTTGAATTTTAAAGAATCACTTAAAATAATGATTGAATACCCCTAGATTCATTAAAAGAATTAAAATCCTTCAAAATCCCAATTGAATACACCCCCTAAATTGTGAGATTTGTGTAGTGGATAGATATAACTTTTAAAATCTAAACTTATTCAATGATGATAAATAAGATAGTGACCGTTACTAGCACGTAAGAGCTTTGAGCAAAAATGTAACCAATTACATGTACACCGTCTCAAATTCAACTCGAGTCTTGGTGTAAGTGTGTTATAAGTGAGTTGTGCCGTCTTAACCTGTAATTGCCAATGAATTGTTGCACGTCAGGATTAATTAATGTAGGGATTTAGAAATGTTACACAATTAGGTTGGTTTGTTGTAAAAGTGAGCTTAGTTTGGGAATTGATGTTGAAATGTATAGAGGGAATGATAAAAAGCGTTTTTAATTAGCATAGAGATATAAAACATGTGTTCGAATAAAATTTTCTGATATATTTATGAGTGACTTGTGAGCATTTTTAATTGTCTACAAATGGCTATTAAGGCTCAGAGATAGAATTATAAAACAACCAAATCTTATCCCGCTAAATAAGATCAGATGTATGAATTCTAGAACGCAATTGCACCTAGTTTTGCACCAAGTCTTTCTTTAGCTCCAACTCCGTGATATGTTCAGAGAAACTAGTATTTGAAACCCGAGGCGTACATTCCTGCAAAGTTACTCCTTCCACCGGGAATGATTGTAATGTAGACAACAAGTGCATTGCGTTCTATTTGCTTCAAATACACGTTTTCTTTTCATATCTTAAAAGGGAAAGATTTAGGAATCCCAAAAAATACAGATTTAATATGTAAAATAGCTCTTATTACATGTTCATAAGTTACATAAACAAAGATAGAAACAATGAACTAATTACACAAACAAATTTCTAAAACAATACAAATTTTACCGCTTTACATTCCAAAGAGGACTTTTCTGAAGAGCAAAGATAATCCCTACGCCGCGGACTTGGGTATCTTGTACTGTTTCTTGAGGAATTGAGAGGCCTCCGAATCACCTCTATGACATAATATTCTCAATAGGGTCTTAGAATCAGCCCCTAGTTTGCTTCTACCACCCCGAGCTTCCGGGCCACTGGAAGACCTCAAGTCGTCGATCAGTTCTCGAGTCTGTAAACAGAACGAGTAGAAAGAAAAAGAACCCATAAAACAAAATGGACATCAGACCTCTTATAATTAGTTCAATGTTATCCACCAAAGCAACCAAGACAGTCGGACATTATCACGACCAAAATCAGTTCTGCGAGTATTGTGTGCTTGTGTATGCGTGTGTTCGAGCTACAGTTTATGCTCGACAAAGAGATCGTTGTTGGTTCCTCTACTCCGTTACCTTGGGAGTATTCATGCCTTGCATAAGCTTTTATTTCCAGTAATGCGAATAATGTGTGGTTCGTTCTATGGTTCATAAACACTGGTTATTTCTCTCTTTCACCACTTTTCTCTTTAGTTCGTAACAAACCAACTTGTTCAAATCAAAGCAAGAGGAATATCAAAAATTGAAATTAAAAACGACAACTGTCTAGATGTAAATTTTGCATTTTAACCCTTATTCCTATTGGCAATAGAATAGTATAATGCCTGAAATAATCTGATTCACTTGTGAATTTTCAACCAGAGAAAACGATGAACTAACCTCGTAGCTGTGCAACTTTACTACATCCCGAACACGTGATACCTGATTCTCAACAACTCCTCGCGGAAGGCCATCTCCTCCCGAGATGAAAAACTCCTGTTTTACATCCACAATGACGCAAATTAAGAGCCTGTATACAAATTTGAAAGTCTATCTATCTGGATTAAAAAAAGATTTCATTCTTGATGGGTATTAAATAGTTGGCCTATATTCTAACAGTCAATGCTTTTTAAGTATGGTGATAAACCAAAATAAAAAAGTTTAATGGTATTAAGAAGCAAATCTGAGAACTAATCCCTACAATGACAACCTCAAAATACAGGTTGATTCAGTTGGGCCAGGCCCTCTAATGGTGAGGGGTTGTCCCCATGTGAGGAGTGTTAATAACTGTTTGCCCACAATCTAACAGCTTAAACTTTTGAGAATAAGGGTCAACCAATAAACATTCACCACTTCCGATATTCAAAGAGGCAAAAAGCAGGTACCTTGAGGACCTCCAAGTCTTCTTCTAATAGCTTTGCATCTCCCACTGAGAAAATTCGTGATGGGCCACCATCTAATAGAACGCGGAGTAAACCATCCTGGTAAAACATCCACAAAAATAAATAAATAAATAAACATTCCAGTGAAATATAAATATCTTACAGGATTTTTGACAGATTTGTTCAAAGAAGCCAGGGTGTGGAGGATACCAGTGTTGCCTGAAGGAGACTTGTCACAATGCGATCCCTGAGTGGTTCCACAATTATAGCACATAGTTGACTAAGTTCCTGCAATAGTTGTCTTAGACATCAATTAAAAAATTACATGGATACAGAATTGAAAGGAAACTAATAACTGAAGAATAACACTTAAAAGGCGAATCGAGAAAAATACACAGATCACTCTTTTTTTTCGTTCTTCTGAAACGTTAGCAATATGTTTAAACAACCGCTAAAATTATTCAACTCTACCAAGGTAGGTTAAAGGAGGGTAGTCAAAATTGACCATGGTGAATATCCAATTTTGATGTGGTGCGAGCATGATTCATATCATCACTAACCTCCAACACAAAAGCTATGTCATGTTGACTGTGCCACATCCCAACTACAACTATTACTTGAACCTATTATTCAAGTTGATGGATCTTTCACATGAGATTTAGCTCAAACCACCCAGGGCACCCTCGATTTAATGGTTAGACTGTGCTACCATTATGCACATGACAAAATTAGTAAGTGGACTTACAAACAATTTAGGTGATAGGGATTGAGAGGAGGTAAAATTCATAATGGGTGGCACATAAATGATATGCAACGTGACGGATACCTCATAAAAATAGAATATAGTTTCCAAAAGGGATAAATCTGACCGTATCAAGTGGTTCATACACTGCTTCGAACCTCGAAAGAGAAACACTTGGTTTATATAAATTGTCAATAAACGGTTCCCTCAAATCCCAGAAGATAATTTTAGTTCCTGCAACAAAAGTTGGTACATTAATAAGTGTTCTCTAGTTTTCCCAGGAATAGGACATTAAATAACGAAATTCTTGTACCAGTGAACTCGCAAATTCGATCTATAGCAGCATTTATATCTTTTCTACTGCCATCAAACGTGTCCTTTTGGGTGAAACTTTTTGACTTCTCATCTATGGATTTCTCTACAAAGTTAAAAAAATACAGTCAATATATCAGCCCTCAGAGAGATTGCGAGTAAATAATAGCATATGCATTCCTCAACCTAAACTCTTGTAATTGGAAAGATTTCAAACAGGTATAAAGTTATAAACCACTTTTTTACACATACTGATAAGTTTTTGGCGGGGCTTCTTCTTCGTCCAGCGCTCCCAAATGCTATCTTCCAACTTATTCAACTGACTGATTGCATACTGTGAAAAGCACAAATAAAACCAGATTGTTTTAGATAATCATATTGGCAATCAAATGCCTATGCAGAATAAAGAATATGGTAAACAAACAAATTTAAACAAAATAGACGTGGTGTGAGAAAACGAGATGACCATCAAATATGGATGCAACTAAAGGTCTTTAGCATATTATTATAACAGAGTGCCATCACATCCATATGAAACTTAGGTCTCATAAGCATCCATGTTTTTACTGGAAAAGAATACAACTATTTCTAAAGCCAGCTCTGATATGAATGTAGACTGGCCAGTGCTTCAGTAAGTTACTAGAGAGAGATCACTTCAATTCAATTTTGATCTGTGCACTAGTACAGAAAATATCAAAGAATGGCACGCATTATCAGCATTTAAAGAATCACATATATATAACTAATCATCTTCTAACTTAGGCGGCGTACAATATAAGAACATAAACATTATAAGTTCACAGGACACCTAGAAGAGATATGCTTGGTTGCATTTCATACTAATATATCATCAAGAAATTCCATGAGAGAGAGAGAGAGAGAGAGCAGGTTCTTAACGAAAAAAGCTAAACCTGAACTTACATAAAGTGTATTTAACTGCACACAAAGGGTTGGAGTCGTTCTAAAACTAATTTCAGTAGACCTTCTCTCATCAGGCAGCCTAGGATCAAATAGTTCCTTCTTTACAAAAGCCTTTATTCCAGCTTCCTTCCTGTATCTTGTAAGAATGGGCACTGGTGGAATTAAATCCTCCTTAGTAGCTGCATGACCAAAATCAAAAATTAAGGTCTATGTGGGTAGAATATGGGTAGACAACAAGAAATAAAAAGGACAAAAACCATTTGTAGCATGTAGAGAAGAATGAAAATTCTTGTTAGCTTAATATACACAGTTGACCATTACTGGTAATCAGACTTTGGTAGTTGGAGTCCCGGGTTTGAAACCACATGACCCACTTCTTTGTTCACTTGCAAGGTCCACGTGAAGAAGGGTTTAGCTTCACGTGCATGATGGGTTGCATGCGAAGAAGGGTTTAGCTTCATATTTAGTGTTAACTCATTCCTTAACAGCTTAAGTTTTTGGGGTCCAGTGGTAACAAATAAATGTGTCAATAATATCCACCAAGAAAATCAATTAGAGATCAATTCTCAATACGGCCAGATAAACAATTTTTGCCAAGGGAATACAAACGACATAGAGTAAGGGAAATATGGAAGTTTTCAGAACTGTGACAACACACCATGACCAATTTAGAACCGTACTACTGACCCCTACTGGATGATATAATCACAAGGGAGCACAGGACTTAACCTACAACCTTTGTGATGTGGGAAAAAAGAAAAAAGAGAAAAGGGTCGAGGGCAAACCAAGAGCTAGGATCTCTATGAAATTTTCTTAACTCTTGCAAATTCTGAAGACAAATTCTGTTTTCTTTTTCCTTTTTTGTATATTTAGTTCTCACAAATAGCACCTACCCAACTTGTCAATGACGAGATTAGCAAACACTTGAAACGCATTGTCAACTCCACGAAACAAACCACTCAATTCTGTAGGCCTCATTGGAACCTTGAGATCAAAAAATTGGTCAACAGTCTGCACAAAGAGATGTTTACAAGGAAACACATCAGTATTGTTAGAGGTTATTGTTAGAGGTAACTGACGAGTGCTAGAAACAAATAATACATTTGAATGCCAATCCAACGAGTACATCCAAACAATAAAGAAACTGATTTATCACTATTCACTAAGTGTATGATATGTTTGTTATATGTATACATGTCACATATGTACTAAGTTAAATTAGATGGCGTCCAATAGGAATAACTGACAATATTGTCAACTACCAACAATATTATAACTGATCTATCCCTAAAATGACTTTTTTTTTCTTATACCCAAAAGAACAACGTCATACCTCCTCCACAATCCTAAATACTTCAACAATTGAACTCCCATGCCGCTGTTGAGGTGAAATTGGGTCCCACCTCTGTAAAATGATGCAAATGAATATTTAGAAACTCAACAGAGAAACAACTAAGTAAGGAATGCAGGTTTTCCAGATAAGAACAAAAGATACGCTAAATAAATAAATAAGGATAAAACTGTAACTTTCACCTCCTGCTGAATAGCCCGTTCAACCCAACCTAAGATCCTTCCAAGTTGCGAATTGACCCAACGCATCACCAATGTTCCAGATATAGATTCAATCTAGAAAGATATAAGAAGCTTAATAAGAAGATGGTAAGAAGCAATGCAACTAATGCTGCATGGTAAACCTGAATTTGTTTGCATCTTTGTAATTATTCAGCTTTAACTTCGTGGAATCAAGTCTATATTCCAATTGTGCACATCCATGACTATACACTATCAGAATAAGCTCACATTAAATTTTGAAACTAAAAAGAAATAAGGAAAATAAGTAATGTAAGAAAATTGAGTCACTCACCTCGTATGGAGCTAGTTTCCTACAGAATACATCAGCAGTTTCCTCTCCACAAGCAGACGTAATAAGTTCCATAATGTATTGCTCAAGGCTGTCAGCTGCTGGAAATACAGATACTACATCTTCTGTCAGATGTTCAGCAGCCCGAAGAAAAGGTTTCTGAAATAAGACATCAGTACTAAGTTCCCCTCATCCACCTAAAAGAATACTGTATTATGGACAAAATATATGTAAAATGTAATTCACATTAAGAAACAGCATATAAGCTTTACCAACTTGTTGCCATAAATCCTATGAAGGAGTGAGGCTGAGACAGCAGTTGCTTGTGGATGCCTCTGGGATAAAATTGGCATGAACATGGTTGCATCTTTTTTCAAAAGTTTCTTCGTCTCTTCAGCAAGCAATGCCAAAGGATGTTCATGCTTTAATTCTGATTTATCAACAGAATGTAAGATCTGCACGACGAGAAAAATTTCGAAAAGGAAAACTTAAAGCGATGTTTCAGCACAAAGTCTTTAATGAAAAGTTGTCTATATCATCATTGAACTTCAAGGGTTATCAACGGGTATAGTGTGCAGTGTGCTCATCGTTATATTATATATGCATATGAGTTCAATGAAGAGTGTGACCATCAGATAAATTGTGTACTGTGCGCTAAACAGACTTAACCACAACAAAACACGACAGTCTGTTATATCCACAACTTAAATGCTTTCAGGGGAAACTTAGTTCACCAGATTAACAACCAATGAAACATAGCAACTGCAGACTCTCTTACTGCTTCATAATAAGAACAAACATCAAGCCCGATCCCCAATGTACAAAATAAGAGCAATGGGGGAAAAAGATGATTCACACTCTCTTCAGATTGACATAAAATGCACCAATGAGGAGAGATGCAAATAAAAGGACTTTGCTTTCCTGTTCTAATACCATGATAATTGTTGGTCTACGAAAGTTCCAAAAGCTTATGTCTTTAGAATATGATCCCAAGTAATTTTCATTTTTATCTTCTAGCACCTCTTACCAAACAAGAAGTCCATTGCCTAGCTTCCCCTTATTAAATTTAGTTTGTTTGAAATATTAAGCTTTTCTAATATACTTTGTCAGCCAACAATCCTATTAAATCAACTTTAACACTTACCCTTGTAAATGCATTCTTAATAGAAGATGATACATATAATTCTATCTGATCTTCATCTGTGTTGGACGTGGATTGAAGAATTGCCTGTCAAAAAAGAAATTCAGCGTTAAAAAGTTTACAAGTTGACATTACATTTGAATTTTTGTGTCATTTTTATTAAAATAAGAGGGAAAAAAAACCAGATATTGCAATTGGGGAAAAATAAATTTCATCACTCAAGAAAAATAACTTCAAAAAGTTGGAAAGTCAAAATAGTTTTATTCTATAAAAACTGGTTGGCTTCTCGTCATGTCACCAATTGGTGAAAGTGGTGGGTCCCACCACTTCAACTAACACCTTGGCGGTGACAACGAAGTTTCTCCCCACTGATGAGAAGCCAAGAATTATTCTCTAATATAAGTCAAGCACATAGTTTCTTTTGAGTCTACACATACTGCTTCGGGTTCCTCCAACAGCAGCCTCCGAGCAATCATCGCAACTGCTACTATATTCTCCATCAAACCTGGCACCTATAATGTACATGAGAAGCTTAAGAGAATTGAGTTGCAAAACTAGGAGAATTCCTTGGTAAAAGTGACTAAAAGTAGAAAAAAGCTGCATAAAGTATATGCATGAGCAATTGAGCATACATAATACATCATGCAAGCAGTGAATGGGCACAACGCATATGATAGTTATTTCCACAATAGTAAAAGAGCAAGCATAGTAGCATACACAGATTAAAAATAACTATTCAACAAAAGCTAGCATCGGCACAACAAAAAATCAAATTAAGCACAAGGACCACACCCAAGTATAACAGTTCTAGGATTTTAGCCTACCTCAGCAAAGTGCAGATGGTAATCTCCTAATTGCTTATCAGCCCACTTCTGAATTGGCAATAAGAATGACTGTAAGAAAGATAAATCTTGATGCCCCTGATCCCCTTCAACTCTACAATGCAAACTCTTCAAGTGTGACCTCTCCTGTGGTCCCCGTTGTTCCTTCAATGGTATTTTCTTTAACTGTTCAATGGCATGTTGTAAAATTCCTTGATCGCTAGTAATAACATGCTGTGATCACAGAACCAATATAAACTGTGAACGGTGATGATATTAACTAACAAGAATTTTCTAATTGAACTTCCACAAAATATTGATGAGAACAAACAAAAAGGAAACAGAAGAAATAGAAAGAACAAAACTGGCTGAAAAGAAACCCAGAATTGAAATTAATACACAATTTTTGTAGAACGGAGCGACTAAAAGAAGATTAGTGGTTAGATATTTGACATAATAGCATGCTGACACAAGAAGCCGCTGATGAAAGACATTCCAGTGACTCCACTATGAGCATCTTTATAATTGAAACCATCTAAAAACATGCATGAATTTATGTCACTATATGACATATATGTAGTACACTTCTGTTCCCCAAGATAAGAGTTACCAGCTCAAAAGTACAAGAAGAAATGTCAATTTGTTAAAAAACAAAGCTGATATCTATTACCAGTGCCATTCAATGCAAGTTCAACTCTTCAAGATGCTCTAGGTATACAATTTTAAAATGTAAGAAATACATTGAAGTTTCCCAAGATATGGATTGTCTGCAGCATGGATTTGAGGTTCATGGGATGGGGAAAGAGTGCCTTCCTTTGTGTAACTCATAGGCCTATTGGTCCGAAGGGCCTCGAACTAAAGGAAAATTATCATCAACATGATATATAACTGTATATGGTATCTGCATACCGCACATACGTATCTCTGTGTGTGTTTGTATATGAGAGAGAGAGAGAGAGAGAGAGAGAGAGAGAGGGAGAGAGAGTCCTTTGTTTGTAAAGTCCATATCCTCTAGTGAATGTATGAAAGACAACATTTTTTTAGAATATAGATAATAACTGTAACAGTATGAGACATGTCAATCGTACCCTCCAATCTCCATCACAAATGAAGTTATAAACAAATACATTATATAAGAAAAAAAATCATTTTAGGGACTATAGGTCCATGCAAATAGAAAATAAATCTTGTGGCCTTTATACCTGACGGAACAAGACCCATGCATAGCAGGTGCAATGAATGGTCTCCGTGATTCCTAAAACACGCCACGTCGACTTCACAAGCTCGAGTATTTCTTCTACTTCCTGAAAATAAAGATGGGCTAGAGACTATGAGAGACAGAGAAAAAGCCTAGCTTCTGTGTTCATCGTAAATTTCATATCTGGTGACTTGAGTATTTACAACTGGAGACAGCATACAATGGACAAACGGCTATTATTGATTTTGATGTTCGAGTAATAAAGAGTCTAAGGTTAAAACAATTTTCATATTGAGTCTTCAGTTATGAGCTGAGTTTTGACTTTTTTTTCCTCACATTGGCGGTACCAGAATTTCATAAATCAGGGAGAACTTTATAATTAGTATTTATCAATTCTTTTGAGTCCAGAAATTCCTCAGATGCAGGAGTGCTGGGAATTAAATAGCTCCCTGTGTTTAACTGTGTTTAAGAAGTAGTTACTTTAACTAGATAATAATTTTATTACATCTACCTTGGTCTAAGAATCTATAATTTAGTCAACTGTGTACTTAGGAGAGGTGATAGGCACTCTAAAATAGTCATCCCGCACTCCTCCCTGACAAGAACATATGAGATAAATTCCACTTAAGAGGAATGCAGTATGACTGATTTGGAGTGCCAATAAGAATGCCTTGACACTATTTGAACTTTACGTGTATTCTATCTCTTTCTCTGTATGCTGTTCATCTTGCTAGAACAAACCTGATTTTTCTCTTTTATCATCCCTTCAAGATTGTAACTCTTTTTCCTTTATTACCAAGTAAAACCCTTTATAGCAACATTCCACAATATTACTATGAATGGGTGCTAGAACTCTGAAAGCATCCTTCTATGGTGTCCATCAGTTTCAACCATCAAGATTCGACCTTTTCATTAATAAAACCTTTGAACCTTTCTTTCTACAGTTCCAAGCCTTGAATCTATAATTGTTATAATTGTTTTGACCCTAACACGGTAGCACCCACCACATAACTGGAAGGTTACATTTCCTAGATTACCCTACATCACTATCCAGGAAAGCAAATTACAACTATTTTGCTGTACAACTTCTGAAATCTGATTGGGATACCAAGTTGACACTGAAAGCATGCAAAAAATCCAATTTTCCAAGAATAAGCTAAATGTCATAGGTTAACTCTTTGGTTTTTTTTTTTTTTTTTTTCTCAAAAGATAAGAGTATAAATGCATGGGAGGGAGGGATGAAGACAAAATGTTGGTGAAATCATATTTGAAATGAAAACAAAAAACTTAAAGCAATTCAAAATAGTTGTTATTTCACACATTCTCCTGCATTTATCCCTTCTTCCTTCTTCCTCCCTCCCTCCTTTCTAACATTCATTTCCTCTTTATATTTAACTGAAAAAGAACCAAGACCAAATGCAGGAGTGTTACCAAATGAGCGCAGGTATCAGTTAAATTCAGAATTTCAAACAGAATGGAGATCTTAACCCAACTCCAGAAAGCTTCTAAAACCCAACCAATCAAGCAGAAAGTGACTTGGCAACATAGATGAAAGCACTTCTTTTGTAGAATTAAATCCTCCTTTTACGGAGTCATGTTGCCATAGCCAAGAACAAAAAGTACTAACCTCAGTCAGCTTTCCCTCGTCCAACATATCAAAGACACTGAGAAGCAGTTTCTCATATAGTCTAACATTCAAGTGATAACCATCTGCCCAGTGGCATACTTCACCAGTTAAGTCACCACGAGCAGGCCTCTCAGCAAGTGGAGTGGCAATCTCTCGAAGAGATCTCAAGCATTCCATTCGTTGGAGTTCACCCGTGGATGGTGGAAGTGACTGCAATCAAAAGAGAAGGAAAACAGGAAAATGAAAAACAAAACAGATTCATTAAACACTAGCAGAAAGCAATAAATTATATCATGAATACTCCAAAAAGGTATAAGGGAGTATACAAACAAGGCAAAAGAATAATGTATCTTTCAATTTTACTTTACATATTATAAAAACTAAAAAGTAAAAGATTTTTAAGGAACTCAGCCAAATCTCTACATCTTCTTTACCTCTCTAGGAACAAGTCAGAGCCTTCAGCAGAATGTATAAATTCAATTGACCAATTGATAGTTTATGAATGTGGCCAACCAGAAAGGCTTCTAATCTAACAACTGGCTGATTTAAGGCAAGAGAACTCCTTTTTATGGAAGAAAATCGTTAAAACTCCATTTTATCAACTCAACCTTTCAAACCAGTGATACCAAAATAATACCTTAAAATGATGGCTTAGGCATGTTTCGGTTTAGAATTTAGGGTTACTGAAGGAAGTGAGTTGTGTGTTGGGCTTGCTACTGTGGGTATGGGAGCAATTTTGGAACACATGTTGGGTTTTCTAAGAAAAAGATGAGAGTTTTAATTAAAAAATGTAGTGTACTTAGAATGCGGGGTGAACTATGGGTTCAAACTTCAAATAGAAAACTTAAATTTTAATTTCTAATTTCGTGATAGAGGGCATTGCAACCATTCAGAAAGACATAAGACGCACCTCTGATTCTTCAATCTTTGCTAACAGAATCCTAAACTCACTCGCTTTGCGTCCAGACTCCCCAAATCCAACAGCAGGGAAGTTAAGAAGCCCCTCCTCCAATATATTCAACTGTGACAAAAAAAAGAGAGAATTTCTTAATTTGGAAGTCAGATATGGTCACCCCCGTCCAATTTCACCAAATAGGACCAATAAAACGTATCAACAGAAAATGAAAGAGATTGTAAGGAATAGAACTTACCTGCCTATTCTGCCACCGTATATACGCCTTCTTGTCAGAGAATTCTGTTCGTGAAATACAGCATAAAAGTTCCAGAGGAACTAGTAAGGTATCCATTCTTTTTCCCACTTTTCCTGCTAGGGCATTAAGCAGCCCTTGTCTAGTCCTGATGTCCATTGCCTCAGATATCTGCATCCGTAAGTATGGCCAATGAGAACAAAAAGAAATACAGTTCAGCAGGACAGCATAAAGAACCATATCAGCAACCAGCAGGATTTCAAAAATCCCTCAGGCTGATGCCATATAAACTACAATCCAAATTAATGAGCTACAGATAGGGTCACTTAAAGAGGAATACATTCAGTACGCTACGTACCCAAGTATGGAAAGAAAAAACCGATCCTCTTAACAACTTTTACAGTACATAGCAGCTCAAAGTGATGGCCACCAATGTATACAAGATTAACTTATGCACGTACCTTATCTAATTACTGGCCCACTCAAAATATAATTATACATCACAAGTGCTAGGAACTAGCAGAACCAGATGATAATATGGTCCACACTCCATAGAACTGAGAAGCTTGTATATGATACTAGCAGTATTAACCCTCCAGCTTAAAGAAAAACATTCCATAAAGTCCTTCGTGCTTACATAGTTCTTAACTACTCTACCGGGCTTGTTTAGTGCACAGGACTGAAGTGTACAATTTCAGTCCGATGCTATTGTACTATTTTGCATTGTCTTAACCTTACTACTATCTGGTGGTACTGTACAGAACTAAGTGGCCAAATAAGCTGTACTGTGTTACGTATTGTACCATATTAGAGTACAAACAGGACTAACATAAAATATGTTTATAAAAATATTTTATAATTAGAAAACAAATATGCCCGCAAACATATTTGTAGCTACCATTAATAAACATCATTCATTTCTAATTCTTATCTAACACCGTCTATGTGATAGCCTCATAAAGAACTTCTCAAAATCCATACGCCAATTGCCTATCTGATTGGGATGATGGAAGAGTTCCATCTTAGCTATCTCAACTTTAAATGGAGAGGAAATAAAAAAGGAAACAGACTGGTAATGCATCCTTTTGAAAAGTAAACGACTAGTAAATACCTCCATTTGAACACGCATAGTCTCCAATAACCCAACCAATCCAGGGGCTCGTTGAGACTGACTCAAAGCATTTTCATTTCTACTTCGTCCAAGTTTCCTCATCAGCTTGGACCTTTTGTCTTTCTTTTTCTCTTTTGAAGGCACAATGAGACCCCTGTTCAGACAAGAGAGGGCAAGCATGGATGGTGTCATAACAGAACATTCAAGGCATTACAAAGTATTTGCAGACCAAATAAGAAACTGAAAGTATACCCTGAAGCACCAGCACATGCCAAAAGGACTTCATATGCAGTTTCACGGAGACCATCTTCTGTGATAGCTGAAAAAGAAGGAAAAGAAGAAAAAATATTAAGACAACCATGTCATGTTTCAATTTTCATCAGTCAACATAGGAGCTGGGAATGCAATCTTTGCTGTTGCCACATGATTCATGGGCTATCTAGAAAAAGCAGACAGATCTGTCTGAACAGTACACCTGTCGGTTACTCTATAGTCTATAGACTATACATCTTTAGTACTTCCCAATTTTTCTAATTTCTAACAAATGTATCCAAATTTCAATGAAAGTTATAAACAAATAGTGGTGTACAGATTGGTAGTAGTTATAGATTGAAATATAGCCAAGGCCGTAACACATGTTTTCACTCTTGAGAAATATGTGAATTAAGAATGCCTGTATGATTGATTATTACACCATATAAGTATAACAATCTAACAGAAATTTGGCAAAAATGTCAAATATTGAATTATGGGTATACATGCACGTGCATTTAGTGTTCCGGCTATTTTGCACCTTGGCTCCACACAACACTAAAAGCATCATATCCACCTTGGCTTAAAAATCTAGTACCTGTCTTAAAAGGAGGCAATCCAAGAGCAAGATCAGCAGCATCATTTCGTGTCCTTCGTGAAATGAGGACACTATCAGCCTCATCGATATCATCATCCTCAAAATCCTCAATATCATCTACCGTAAGTTCTTGAACTTGTGTAGAGTTAAAAGATTCTGATTTTGACACACTTAATGCAACCGGAGATGAGTCAAGATCAGGAACAGATGATATGACACTTGGAGGCGGCACGATAATAGGAGGCGGCACAAATTCAGGAACAGGTGGCGGTGCCCTTTTTGGAGGAGAACCAGAAAAGTCAGGATTCGTAACCAAAAAGAACTCGCCAGCAGAACCTGTATTGTTCTGGTAAAGTGGAAATAATCAACAGAAAACATAAAATAAGCAAACAAATTAACAGAAACACAAGGAAATGAACATGACAATAGGCAGAAGATTACTGATTAGGAATTTTTATGAATATCCCAATCCAAATTACAAAAGAAAATAAACTAATATCTGAGTTACATATTTAACCACAACCCAAAAAAGATAAGTAAAAGCAGAGGAGCTACAGATGACCATTTAAATGGGAATTATACATGCATGACGGGTCTTAATTTGCGACCAGATTCAAATCCTGAACCTAAAAAGAAAAAATATCCACTAATTTGAACGAGAATAACTCACTAAATCATGTCATAAATTGCACATACCATTTGTGGTAAACCAGTATGGTCATGGTAGTCCCTAATAGCTTCCGAAAGCTCAAGCATTCCACCTGCATTGTCAAAATCGTCAGCGTGTGCAAACAAAGAAACTCCAACGAAAAATACAACTCAAAATCGACAATAAATAAACGCAAGACACCACCTTTCTTAGCACAATTGATCACATAATCAACACTAACTTGGTCTAGATCCACATCATCGAGCGTAACCGCACCGGGAGGCATTATAACCTTCTTTATCAAGCTACCGGCAAGTATAAAATCAAGAAGTATTCGCCTGTCGCGGCGAAACCGCTGTAAAAGCTCCACCGCATTTTCCCTGCATTCCATCATCAAATCGAAGTTCATTTCTATTGATTTCAGCTCAAACAAAAAATACAATTAAAATTTTCCAAAAAATTAATTAGTCAAACAACACTTACTCTTCCATCTCGAAACGATTGCAATTATGCTACCTGAGAAAAAAAAATCTCGAAAAGATTGCAATTATGCTACCAGAGAAAAAAAATCTCGAAACGATTGCAATTATGCTACCCGAGAAAAAAAAAACACAAAAAACAATAAAACTGAAGCTTTACACAGAGTTGCGTAGTTTGCTCTGTTTGGCAAGCAAGAAAATGAGAGAAAATTTGATCGAACACAAAGACGAAACTCTTTTTTTTTTTACCTCAATTTTCTCGGCAACCAAACATGAATTAGAGCATTGAGTTTGTTGTTTGAGTGAGAAAGAGTGAGAGAGTCAAAGGCGGAGCTGAGAGGAAAGGAAGTGAAACGGCGTAGTTTGACTGCGGTTGAGTTGGGATGGTGAAGCTTGAAAGAGAGGAAAAACAAAAATCCCAGTTGGATGAGATTTGGATCTCAAAAGCCTTTTTTTAATCAATTAATTAATTTTTTTTTGTTTAACCATCTGCTCACTCAAAATAATTAGATGGAATATTAAATTAACGGTCTCTGTCTCTGTGGTTAAACAATACAATTAATTATCTGCATTTTACTAATTATCTCTAGTTAAGTAAACCATCACCATCTCACTGACTAATATACTACTGTTGGAAATTTAATGCGCGACGGGTGTTTGAAAATCATGGATGTTTTTAAAGAGCCCTTTTGTAATATGAAAACGATATAAATTTCGTATTTTTATGACTCGAGAATACAACTGGTAGTTTAATCCGAGAATGATTTTTGAGAATGAAACATTAAAAACTTGTATGGTACCAATATCTAAAATCTTGTACAAAACTATAAATTTGTGTTTAGTAGTAATGGCGGCGGTGGTGGTAAAGATGGTGGCTGATCATAGAGTGGTGTTGGTAGCAATGGCGGTTGGAGTGTTGGTAGCAGTAACGGTTGGCATAGTGAGGATAATGGGAGTGGAGAATGTGATGATGGTGATGGTATTTGCAGGTGGCAATAATGGCGTTTAAAATGCAGATGGAGGTAGGATATGGTGGCGACGGCGATGGTACTTGGTAGTGGGAGGTGGTGTTGTCAAAGATGATCGCAATTGTGGTGATGATAGTGAGACGGTGGAGAATCTTGTAATGGTGGTGGTGATGATAATCGGGCATACATAATTTTGTTTCTTATTATACTCTTAACTTTGTTATATAATGTCCATTTTACTTTCTATTTAGAAAATTGTTCTTGAAAAATAGAGGAAACACCAACTTGACATTCTACATGAAGAAAACTTATCCCATTTAATCCTCCAAAAAAAATTCTTACGAGAGATTGAAACTGGTAAGTTTTCACGAGATGAAACCTAGATGCATCAACCACGAAGTGATAAGTATCCATCAAGACTAAATCACAATCTACCTTAATTTGGACAAAATTTGGAAGTCAGCCTCCCTTCCTTCTTTAAATATTATTTGAATCTAGTGAGTAATCAAATCCGATTCTGGACACCCAACATGGCAGCAGGCATAAGATTGGTGGCCCATACAAAAATACAGATAAATGATGCATCTGGAACTCACAAGAGATTAAGGGTCAGGATCATTTGCATCATACATAGTACAGATATTGACAGCCCTCCTCCTTTATCCGGGCTTGGGACCGGCTGTGTCCAAATAGGAATCAAAACACAGGCGGAGTTATTCAACTCGTACTATATATATATTAAGCACACATGAAAGCAACGTGAACGACCACGGCCTTGTCCTTTCCCCAGTCTGTTTTTTTGAACTCATTTACCTTTTCGACCAATACCGAGAATATCTTAGTACTTCATAGCACTATAAAATTTACGTTTACTCAATCAAATGCTAAATTGCACGGTTTATCCTTGTGGTACGTGGTCATATGTCAAGGTTACTCAAACTCGGAATTGCAAGGGTAAAATAGTCATTTGAAACAATAGCGACTGCATTAACATATGACCGATACCACAAGGATAATTTGTGCAACACAACCTTCATTGAACAACTTAGAAGCTCAAAGTGCAAATCACAACTGCTGCCGGCATTTTTTTATTTGAAGGAAAGACGGAGTTTTAAGCAAAACTCATATTTCTAATTGTTCTTGTATGCCACACATATTGATTTGGTGATTAAAGACATTTTTTGGTCCTGTGTTATATGGAGATATCAACTTCGGTTCATGTTTTGCAAACATTTTAATCCGTTAACGATCTTGGTCCTTTCCGTCAAACTGGTGTTTCGATACAATCATGCAACAACTCAAAACTGTAACTACTCCTTTTAATTGAAAATACATGGACCAATATTTGAAAGTGAATGCAAAAATATACGTAAGGAACAATTGTGTAAATAACCCTTAAAAACTTAAAAGCTTGTTTCACAGGAGAAAAAAAAACAAAAACCCAAGATTGATAACGGATTAAAACACATGGACCAAAATGAAACCTAATCAAAATGCACGGACCAAAAGCCTATATAACCATTCATTTAAAGTATACGGTTGTACACTGGTTTGGCTTGCTTAATTTTAGTTGTAGGGTACAGTACTCATCAAGGACAAACTTGAAAGTTTCTCCATAACTACTTAGTTCATCAAGTCTTTACTTTTTTGCATCGGTAATGGATGAGCTAATGAGACATATTCAAGATATTCCTTGGTGTATGTTTTTTGCTGATGATATAGTATTGATAAATAAATGCAAGGGGGAGAGTAAATGCGAAACTTAACCTTTGACGAGAAGTGTTGGAATCTAAAATGTCTATGTAGGCCAAAAAGAGTATATGGAATGAGTTCAGTGGAAATCAGTCCAAATGAGATAGGGATGAGGATTGAAGATCAAGAAGTACCGAAGAGTAAACACTTTTGGTTATCTTGGATTTATCTAGCAAAAGAATGGAGAATTAGATAAAAATCTCAACCATAAAACACAAGCTAGATAGATGAAGTGGAAGAGTGCATCTAGTGTGTTGTGCGACTGTCGTATGCCACTAGAGCTCTAGGTAAAATTTTATAGAATGACAATAAGGCCAACAATGTTCATGGGCAGTCAAGCATCAACACCTGCAAAAACTAAGTGTAGCGGAGATAAAACTGCTTCATTGGATATGTGGGCACGCGAGAAAGGACATGATTAAGAACAAGGATAACCGAGGTGAAGGAGTGGTCGCAATTGACGATAGGTTTGGACATGTGAAACGAAAACTCACAGATGCTCTGGTTATAAATGCGATTATGGGATAGAGGCTCAAGGCGAAAGCGGTAGAAGAATACCTAGGAAGACTGAGAAACTTTAAAAAAAGATATAAAGTACTTGAGGCTAACGCAAGAATTGGAGCAAAACCGAGTTCAGTGGCATTCTATAATTCATACAGCCAACCTCTTAATGGGATAAGGCTACGTTATTGTTGTCGTTGGTAAAGTACATTTTACATCATCAAGGTTTGGAGTCGGTTTCAAAATAGGCCACAAGATTTCAATTTTTTTTGTATTGCAGCCTGACGTTTTGACATCCAACCAATTTATACCTTTCGTTAGGTTGACCGCTATTAACTAATGACGTGAAATGCGAGACCCACCCCCAAAATGTCCTCTCGGTATTTTTTTGTAGCATGGTTGGTGAGTTGGAGGGCTAGTCCAGCTCTGACACGAGTAGTTAATAGTTTACCACACAATCAAGTTAACAAAAAGTATAAAATGTACACATGTCAAAAGTCCGCGCGCAATGTGAAAAATTTGAAACTCATTCCGATTTAAAACTGACCCCAAACCTCGATGGTGTAAACTGTACTTGGCCTTTTATTTTTTTTTATAGGCTAGCTCAAATTTTAAGCCAAAGAGAATTGAACTGGTGTTGAAACAAACGTACAACACATTAAAGAGAGACATACCATACAAGAGGGCACAAAACAAAAGACCTCCGCCCAGCTGCGAAAGTTTGATTATCCTAATATTCCTGCAACCATAGAAAAAATAACAACAAATGAAAGCAAAAAAATAAAATTTAAAGTAAATAAAATAGAAGGGAAGGACAACTCACACACAATTTATACGTTTGCCAATGAAACTATTGGTAAAAAAAAAAACCAAAAATTGCAAACCAATTAGCCAGAGTATCACGTATTGTTCAGGCTTTTGCTAAATATTATTTAAGGATTCCCGTTAAATGGTAGTAAGTTTGAGTTCTTACTCTCCCACACTTTGCATCTAAAAATTACCAAGCAACCGTCACCGTTCTTATGGTAACGTTATCGGCAACATTCCCACGCTCATAGAACAACTTCTCCACTCCAGTCCGCAAAATAATGCAGGATCCTAGAAGTCACACATCATGCAAACATTTCTTCCTAGTTTTGTTACCCAGAAACAAATTGACGGGGTACTCACACGCACATCATAGATCTAAGCGACACACAAATTTCTTCAATGCAAAGGGTAGTTGAATTTTACCATTAACTATAAACAATCAACATGCGCATTCAAGCCAATATATAGATTAAATTTCTTATCATTAAATAAACTTCAATAATGCATGTTTACACAAGATTTTATGTTCCAAAATTTGTTATGTAAGCAGTAAAACATTTAACCGATTTACAGTTTCTAAAGGGGAGAAACTCATCTGCAACACAGTGAAACCTACAAGAATGCACATGGTTCAGGTATATCTTTGACAAGCAGCCGAAATTCTCATTTGTGTGTGATGTTCACGATGGTCACATCACCCAATCTTTGATGTCAACCACGGTTCATAACCTGAAAGAGTATCAAACTTGCATCAATTCCCGTTACGCATGCTTCATCAGTTAAAATAAGCTTGTACAAGTCACACTGCAAAACCCAATTTCTTGTTTTTCTTTTGGCACGAAAATGATTGTCAAAATATTTAAATCAATGGAAACCGTCCATTGAAAACTTATAATGCTAGTGGCACTGTTCATCTTTACTTGAATAAGTTTGTGATTCATAAACATACAATTGATGCTAAACCCAGCCAAAGGGCTCTGCTGTGAATCATCTGTCTTCTTATCTACAGCATCCCACGTATGCTCATCCAGCATGCCAAGGGGAATGTTTTGTATCGTGAAAGAACCATCCCAGCTCCTTCACAAGATTGCATGATTTTTAAAAACCACATTCAAACATTAAACCAATATAATTACATGCCGTATGCAGGCTGCCAACAAATATGACATTTTAAAAAACAATCTCTCAAGCATCCTGATCCTTTTTAAGGACCATATGTAGTTATTGAATAATCCTCAAGTAATAATGCCCCAAATGTATAATACAATCCAAACAAGGGGGCAAAGTAAAAGGAATCAATTGCAATCATCAGGCCTTGGAAGATGCATTCACGAAAAACATGAGAGCAAGAAACTGAAATTTAGTGCAACAGCAATTTGTGCAGGACAAGAGCTGATATGAAGTACAAGAAATTGACGATTAAGAACAAAACATACCTCTGAGAAAGTATACTGCAACGCCAACAACATGCATGGCATAACTAAATGCGTAGCCTGCAAAAAACATTGAGTGACAATTTAGTATGAACAGAATCCAATTACAAAACTCCATTTTTGAGAAGACTCCAATTACAAAACTCCATTGAAGGAAGAATTGTGTAAATTACTTACCAGAGACCTCAAATCACTTCCTAATTCAAAGATCCACGACACCTGAATAAAAGATATGATTCTTAGCAGTATACATAACCATAGGTTATTCTCCAAACCGTTTAGATACAAACTTTATGAACATATAATGAAGCAATAATATTTTTCTTGGTAGAAACACAAAGAAGATGAAAAAGACCACAAAATCAAAGAACATGTATTCTTGTAAGAACAAATCTTACTTTTTCGAACCACAGTTGCAAGGAATCTTCTTCTCCTCCAAAGGAAACTTATAATTGTAAGTAATTTCTTCACCAACAGCTATATGCCGTTTTGCGTAAATGAAGATTCGTTTGTGACCATCAACACTGATAACTTTGGTGTAGCAGTTAGGCTGCAAAACAATTTTTGAGGAACAATGACTTCATATCACGAGACCCAAAATCAAAATAACTCTGATACCGCATATTTGCATTACAATCTAAAGAAGCTACCTCTACCTCACAAGAATGGTTTATAAATCTAGCAACTCCTCCACGTTTTGTAGCATCAACCTACACATATTTCAGAAAGAAAATATTAGCCAATTGATGATAGCTACTTTGCTCCAGTGGTGCACAGCTAACTTTATGAATGGAACAGGAGAAACTAGAGTAGAAGATTAATCCATGCACTGGACAACAACATGCAACAAATGTAAGCAGCAAATGAAGAAGCTAGCAGAATGCCCCATTTCTTGAAGCCAATTCATCTATAATAATTGATCTTATTCTTATGAGCTATAAAGCCGTAAAAAAATGCCAAGTTCCATGCTATAGGAAATGAAATCGACGAAGCCAAAAGTTCCATGACCAGGTCCCAGCCTACAAAGTATTAAATAAAAGAAATGCTTCAGGGAAATTGCTTCTATGCAAATATTACCCACTCCCAAAAGATGTGTTATTCTCATTAGGTCACAGATTATGTGGTCATCAAATTCAATATATTCATAGAAAAATAATGTTCCATGCTATATGCTACAAGTAGCTCAATTATGGACCTGAATTAAAAGAAAACAAGAAAAGAAAATCATTAAA